TCTTTATATCAACAGCATGCTTACTTTTGATTAAGACTATTAATTAAGCGCTTAATACCAGATCGTAAGAATTATTTTAATTATTTAAATTGTTTAATCTTTATTCCATATTTTTGTAGTGTATTTTATCAGTCGAATTATCTATCTCAGTTATACTAATATATAAAAGTAAAATGGCACAGATATCGAACTGACTTTATCACTCGAGGGACATCATCTAACGAAAGGTATCAATTTATGAATTAGGTTTGATATATTTCTAGATCCGCTCGGAGATGTACGACTGTTCGATTGATTCGATTGTTCATTTACCGGATAATCGATCTGTGTCAACAACCGGTTTTCGAGTGATCCGACTGTTAACCTTGTTTTTTTTTTTACGTCTGTTTCTTCCCCGCGATCTTCGAGACGAACCCAATTTGTGAATTATTTTTTTTCGGTGTCCTCGTGGGAAATAGTTTTTTCTACTTCGTATTTTCCATTGTTTATGTATTTTTTTGGAAGCAAAATAAATCGATGCGCTCCTCGGAACTATAGATTAAATTATACGCTTCATAAGTGAATGAACAATCTCCCGATTTACTTGCATTCTGTGTCTGTACTATTTTGGTAACAGAGAAATACTTTCTGATGGAATATTAAAGGAATCGATAGAAACTATAAAACTCTTATTCTACCTAACGGCGTTTGGCATTATAATCTAATAAGTCTTCCACGCCATTTTGGATTTCCTCAATTTCCGCGATTCGCAATTTCTATTTTAAAAATATTTTTAACAATGTATTTGACGCAAACACACACACACACACACACACACCCACACAAAATTACATGGATATAATTTAATGATGCAATGGATACATAATGTATTTTATCATTGATTGAAATATTAATATCAAGATATTTAAATGTTACTTAACGTATTTTGTAATCTTTTAAACCAATAAATAATTTTAAATTTAAAATATTATGAAGTAATTATTATATTTTATTACATATTTACTTGCATATGAGATGATCTCACATATAAGATGAGATATGACTTTAGAGATCAAAATAAAGAAAATTAAATTTATTAATACAATTCTAATTTTATTTTGTTTAATCACAGATAAAATATCATCAAATGCATGTATTAAGGCAAACATGATTGTTTGCCTTAATACATGCCTTATTAAGGCAAACATGATTGTTTGCCTTAATAGGTGATGAGTAGAAAACAAAACCAAAACATTATAATGTGCATGACTAGGAAAATTTTATTTTTAATGATTCAGAATATGTTAGTATTCATTAAAAATAACAATTTAACTAATATGAAATAACTACATTTATAATCATTGCTAAGTGACCTGTATTTCATTAATGATTTTATAAATAACGAAAAACTATTTTTTGCAGACAAATGAGATGCAACGCGGTTTTAATTGATGGATGTAGAATTAAACCGATAAACAAAGGGGATGTGGCTTAATTTGTTTACAGTAGGTGCCAACTTACAATAAATAGACTGTAGACCTATAATGGCAGCATGAACTATACACACTTCACAGAAATTATTGCAAAAACATTTTGGGTTTTAAACTAAATAATCACAGATCTTAAAAAAATAAAATAATTTTATTTGGAACTGGGGTACAAGGACTGGCACCGGTACAACAAACATGATAAAAATGAATTTGAAAGGGAGCCAAAAACTATGTAGGGGACACGTTAAAGTGTTGCCAGGTTGACCACAACACAAAAAATCCTTCGCTTGTGCATATAGGATGACCTAGGTTTTCGAAACAGTAAAAAATGAATGAAAACATTGTCTTATATGTGATTAATATAATTATTTATTTGATTGAATATTAAAATTTGAAAACAGTAAAATATCTATACTTAAATATTGTTTTCTAGACTTCTATTGTTTATAAATTTATATATTTTATAGTCATCATCATCAAATTTTACCAACAGAGAAAAAAATAGGAATGTGAGAAAGAACAAAAGAAATCGCGTATTTTTAAATTTTCATGTTAGGGATCGTAGAACGGTAAGAAGGTTTTCTTTCAAATAACTTTGCAAAATAATGTTTTAAAAAACTTTTGATGTTCTCATTATTATAAATTTTCAAATTTAAGCCACAAGTTATTACTGAAGAATCACCATTAATTACATCTGTAACAAAAAGAAGATTTGCTCATCGTCTAGGTTTGCAAAGAACTGCTCATGGTATTCTTCAGAGCACTGGTTTAAATTATTCCACTTTTGCAGACACTGAACAGTTTCAAGATGAAGATGCTTCATATGATAGCAGGTAATATCAAACATGAAATAATATATTTTCCTATTATGTTATTATTTAGATAAAGACTATCATGAAAAACAACTTATAATTGTATGCAATCTTGAGGCTTTATCATCATGTCATCTGCACTCTGGGTTGTTATTGTTGGCTTAGCATTAGTGCATTAATTAGTTAGAGCTGTAGAGTTGGCCATGTTGTTTGGCTACATATGAGATATACTGTAGCTCCTCTTATCTATCCTGTGTTGACAAACATTGTGTGAAAGTGTTCTTTATTAGTGTCCTAAAGGTCTTAAAATCAAAAGGATCATGAAATTGTGCCAGGATGAAGAGTGGACTGTAAGAGGCATTACAATATACATTCTTTGATAATTGTCTGTATTGTAAGGTAATATGCATGTCCAGAAAATGAACCTGGAAGGAACTTTTCTGTTCAGTTGCGGAGAGAGGCCATAGGCATTGTTGTTGAATCCCTTTATGTCTGGCCAGCTGTCCAAATAATCAAGTATATTGTCAACATATCTATCATATAAAATTATCTGATCTTTAAAAAGAGGTAAGATGTTCTGATCCAGTCATTGTACCAATACCTCACATAGTGTTTTGAAACTTTAAAGACTTATAAGCTAAACACTCAATTTTTAGAGGCCCATTTTTCAGAAATGTTTGAGAAGTGGGCCTATTATTTGGACAAAGCTGTTTATCTTTAGGGCTACATGCTCACCAAGTATTGTTCAAATTGTAGACCTAAATGTCTGTCCCTTGTAAGTAATTTGGCCTAGAAGTAGGTGTTATGTATCTTCTTTCATTAAATTTAATAATTATAATTAAATTAATAGTAATTAATTAATTTAGAAGGTACTAGAAGGAAAGAATCAGCTCAGAGAGGACTCAAATTCCACAGTTTCCATTTTCTGTGCAGATGCATAACTGGCAACACATCTGCACAGAAAATGGAAACTGTGGAATTTGAGTCCTCTCTGAGCTGATTCTTTNACTACTATTATTAATTAAATGCTACGTAATTTGGCACAGAGAAAGATGTTAGATGCCATCCATCTTTTGCTAAATGTAATAATTATAATTTAAATTAATATTTTAATAATTAATTTAATTATAATTATTAAATTTATCAAGAGATGGCTCCTAATGCCTACTTCTATTGTCAAATTACTTAGCATTTAATTAATAGTAGTAGTAATATAGCCCGATATAATCCACTAATCATTTGGATTTAACATTTGTTTTACTTTTACTCTGCAGGAACACCACAAAGGTAGATTATACAGGCTTTATTGATCATGAAGAATACTATAGGTCTCTCATCAGTCTTTTTTTTTATTCAATATCAGTCAGGTTAAAAACATTACAAGTTTTAGCTTACATTTATAAATATACATAAAATTATAATGAACACAATATTACCTGAATGATAGAAATTGTCACCTGTATAACTATAATGAACACAACTGGATTTTTAGATACTGTAAGATAACTAACTAAAATGTAAATTAAGTAAAAGGAAAAACCATTGTTAAATAAAATGAATGAATGAACATGTGATTTGGCGATTTCAGCATTTTGCTGACAATGGAGGACAGCATATTGATCATGCTGTTAGCCACACAGCACACTGTGTGTATTATGACACATTTTGAGTTATTCAATACAGTGTTGCAGCAGACATTTTTGCAACTAACTTTTTTTGTTTCCAAATAAAATTCCATCACCATAGAAGTCTCCATGTGAAATATAATATCATTCTGCTGATTAATTCCTGAGTTATATCTTTTTGAAATGTGAACTTTAATTATGGACACTGTGTATATTGATTTATATNTTTTTAAAGAAGTTTTGAGAAATTATAAGCTGTTTTAATTAAAAATAAAATTTTTACAATAAATATTTTTATATTGAACATGCTTTGAAAAAATGATTTTCTTAGACAATATTTGGAGATGGCATCCTAATGGCAAGTTATTAGAAATGATAGTTCATTTTTATATGATATAGGATTATTGTCTTTAACTTTAATTTAGCAGTAAAAAACTAATATTTAACTGGAATGAACTGTGATTAATTAAAGCTGATGTTATTTAAATAAAATATTAAAGTCTCAAAGCAATGTTTTATTCAGAATATTATTATGCTGTACAAAAAAAACAAGGACTCAATGTTTTTATCCTTTAAATTCATCTTTGGGAGTTGTTCAACTAAACAGTATTTGTCACATTTGAAAGCAGAACATCAAATTCATTAGCAACTCTGTTATCTAAAACTACAATTTTTTAAAAGCAAACAAATTCAGTTTTTATGGAACAAAAACAAAATAAAAATAGCTTTAATGATACAGAAGAACTGTACAACTGATTTTCCTTTACCTAAAGCATTAATTTATGATGAAAAAATTTGAAAACTATTATTTTCTATTTCTAATTTTTAACTTCAAAATTTATTTCAAGAAGTGATGTACAGATCTTTTCAGTCCCAATTACATCAATTACATAATCTAATTTTAGCAGTTATGAAAATGTCTATTACAGTGGTGCCTCGTATAACGTACTTAATCTGTTCCATGTGCACATCTGTTAAGTGAAAAGTCTGTTATACAAAACGCATTTTACCATAGAAATACATGTTAAAACATATAATTCCTTCCGCAGCATAAAATAACCGTACTGTTCCATAAAAAATGAAAATAGATCAGTCACNATCTCTGAATGTATATATATATATATATATAAAATTAAAATTATTAAATTTATTTTAACTTGATGTAGGTAATTTATCAGAAGAACTTATGGCAGATTTTCAGGAAATATTACGTAGTCGTTTTAGACCTAGATCCTCCATTTTTCAACCTCGAATTATTGCCAGAACATCTGCAATTGAAACAGTAAGGCATCGGGTACAGAGGAGAAGAGAAGCTCAATTAGAAGATATAAGAAATGTAAAAATTTATTTATTTTGATGGAATAAGTGATCATTTAAAATCTGAATGACTTTACTATATAAAACAATTATCAATTTTTATTCTGTTTTGAAATTTGTAGGATATTGCCATTTAAATACTTTAGATAATTTAATTAACAGTGAAAGTCATAAAAGAGAGAATTTAAATTTTAATTTGAAAACTTTTGGATTTAAATACCACTAATTTTTAGTTTTTGTCTTTTATAATTAGGATAATATGAGAATTAAAGTAACAAGAAATCAATGTAAATGGTTTTCATAAAAATCTAGTGTAGTGATTTTTAAAGTGGGCAGCATAGTTGGCAACATAGCAATGATGAAGTTTATTTAACTAAATTTTAGCATCTTTTATGTTTTATATGATCTTTGAATTCATTTTCAAAATTTTTGCAGTTGTGGCAGTGCTGGAAAGTCCTTGTCTACAAAGGGACATAAAGCACTGACTCTAATATTGAACAAGTTAGTTTGAAATACTTATGACATACAGTTACTAGTATTAATTTTACATAGGAATATTGATTTTGAAGTAAATGTATTGTGCCTTTGGTAATCACAGCAGCATTGAAAATAGTTTGACCATAAATGCTTAAATAAATGTAATTCTTCTTGCATTTCTCTTATCATATTTGATAAAATTGTTTCTAGTTCATTCATCTGATTTCTCACCATGAAAATAAATCAACTCTAAATTTTTTAATGTGATGATTTAAAACTTGTTAAAAAGTATTAGATCAGGCATTAAGAAATGTATAAATGCTATCTTACACATTAATAATTTGCTAGTAATGAAGTAGATATTAAATTTGTTATTCAAGATTCTTCTAAATGATTATTAACTTTATAAACTGGAATCACTGAATTAAGTTTATTGGTCTTATTGAAAAATACCGATTAGAAGTTTTAATTAGATATGGTTAAATATACAATTAATTGTTACTGTTTTGAATTTAATTTTTTTTTTATATTTAACTGTTCAAATTAATATTCCAAAAGAGACTTTTGTAATATAGGATAAGTGGCATTAGAAGTCAGTTTACTGAATAAAGGCACTGGGCAGGAAAAGTTTGGAAACCACTGATCTAGTGCTGTCCAACAGATATAATTTAGAGATAACCTAACTAATTTAATGCTATTAATAAAATATTTTTTATCTGCTAGTTATTTTAATGCTCATATTATAGTACTTTTATCAGATATTTTATTTTAATATCTGGTTACATAGCATTCAATTAATAATTTTTCTGCAAAAAAGCTTTATAATTAAAATATTGAATAGATGTATTTAAATTTTATTGTATAGTTTTATATTTTAAATAAGATTTAAGTTTTTTTATAACATACATGACATGATAATTCATTACAATAATGAAAATTATTGTAGAGTTAATGTATTGTCACCAATGTACTATATATGTGATGTTAATCATCACTTATTTTAGAAGTGTGGCTATGATTTGGTTTGTTACAGAAAACTTACAAACTAGGAAAAAGTTATTTTTATTAAAATATACCTAAATATAGATCTAATGGTGTATGTATGTTTTTATATGCATACTGTTCCATATAATGCATTTTGTATTTTGTTTGGTAATATTTATATGCATAAATACAAATCATTATGTGGATATGTATTTATGTATAAAATGCCTGTATATAGACAAATTGTTTTTGTATTACCTATATATAGCTATATTGTTAGGTATAAGTACAGAGATACATAAAGTATATATACATACCATAAAACATTGTATAAAATATAACATTGTTTATAGGCCACAGCCTATACAATGTTATATTTGTAAATTTCATTGTGTGTAGCCTATGCACAAGGGTGACTAATAAGTGAAAAACCTGAACACTAGTAACCTGAACACTTCTAAAATTGTAACTACAGAATAAAAGAAAAATACAGTAAAATACACTGTTAATAATAATTTTAAAACATTTGTGAAAATTGTTAAAAATGACTAACAGAATAGTATACAATTAACTATACATAGTAGAGTGAGATTTACGTAAATAATGTCATTCCTGATG